GGCGGGGTGGGAGCCCGGGGGAGCAGCCGCCCTTGTGCCGGGCCCTCGGCCCTCCTGGAAAACACGGGGCTCTTCAGCTGAGGGAACAGGCGCCCGTGTTTGGAGGTGGTTGGTGTTCCCCCTCTGCCCTGGGCTTATGCATGGCACTGCCCCCCGGGCAGGACAGGAAAAACACGGAGGGAGCAACAACAATGCATGTTTCCTGCCATCTGTTTGCAGCTCAGCTTGCTTTGGGCTGTTGCTGGCAGATTTCCATTAGCTCTGGAAAAATGTCTCTAGGAAAGCAGTTGACTGTATGTGTGTATGTATATATGAAAAGCACTATGACAGAGGAGGTTTGAGAGTAAATATCAGAAGAATTTAGTTGACGTGTGTATGTTTGCGTATGTAGTGCCTCAACATGTATGGCGGATAAATTTGGATACTCCAGAGGAAGCTCATCAGAATCTCTCCTTTGGCACTGCGGATCGCTGGTGGGAGCAGACAGATCTGACCAAGCTGATACTCGCCTCAAACAAACTGCAGTGTCTTTCAGAGGATGTCAAACTTCTGCCTGCGCTCACCGTTCTGGATGTGAGTCCCATTATGGCAGGACTGCACTCTCTGTAGGAGATGGGAAAACAAAGTCTTAGATCTTTGCTGGAGTGCTGCTACTGGTAATTGCTTTGAGGCATGTACATAGCTGGTAACTTGTGTACAAAATTACTTTGTGTATTAGGTTACCTTCCTTTGTTTCTGGGGTAGGAGAAGAAAATCTACAAGGTACAAATTAGTAACTGTGTTCTAAAAACTTTATTTTCCAGGTACATGATAATCAGCTGACATCTCTTCCTTCTGCTTTAGGACAATTAGAAAATCTTCAGAAACTCGATGTCAGGTAAGTACATGACATCACATGTCATGTTACAAAATTGGAGCATGAGAAATATTGCAGTGACTTTCACGGTGTGAATAAGAGATTGCAATATATCAAATTTTCTTTCAGAAAATTAATTTCAGATTTTTAACTGGAGCATATTAGCATATTGAAAATCTTAAATTTTGGATACAGAATGATGATCTTAGGTTTGCTAAAATTATTTTCACTCAAAGTCACAGTCTAGCTTGGAAGGTGAAAACAGTGATATTTTGAATAATCGTGCAAAAGCACTATCTGCATTCATTTGCTTCAGTCTGGCAATTTTGATTTAAAGGAACAAAAATGCTATTTGTCATGAGTAATATACATTGGAAATAGTTGTATAGATGTCATTCATGCTGGAAAGTTCATATTCTTCTGTTTCCCGGAGTAATTTTGTGAATTTGTGCACAAGGAGAAAGGAGGTATGCTGCCGCTGTGTGTGTGTGAACCACATTAAAAAAAAAAAGAATGTAAGATCCAGCTGGAATATTGTAAATTCAGATGAGGGTTAAAAGTGTTCCTGAACAAATAAATAAACAAACACAATGAATTTCTCCCAGGAAACTAATCCATTTTAGAGAGCTGTAACAGTTGTAGGAGACAGATTTTTCTTAAGGGTGACAGTATCCTGAACAGCAAGTGTCTCTGCATGCTGCAGCGTGGGATGGTTTTGCCGAAGCCTGTCTCGCTGCAGATGTAATTAGTAGTTAGTCTGTGCCAGGTCGGCATATCCGGTGTATCTGATGCGGGATGTGCTTCGTACGTGCTCTAGGGTCTGAAGAGTTTGTGTTTCAACAGGCCATGTGTGGCTAGGGTAATCCAGCTGATACAAGTGGTGTAACTCTAGTTTGGAGGGCATCATGTGTAACAGAGGTCTTGTGTGTGCAGTTACGGTCTTGAAAGTATTTAGTCATTGTTTTTTCACTTTGTGTTCCATGTTTTGATACTAGCCACAATAAACTGAAAAGCATCCCAGAAGAGCTGCTGCAGTTGTCACATTTGAAGAGCCTTCTTCTTCATCACAACGAGCTGAGCCACTTGCCCGATGGATTTGGACAGCTTGTCAATTTAGAAGAATTAGTAAATTACAACTTTTTGAAAAATACTTACTTGTGCAGAAAGGCTGATTTACCCATGTTTTGCTACTGCTAATTAAAAAACCATAGCTTGTATGGCAAAACTTTGTGAATATTCTAATGACTTACGTAGGTTGTCTGTTATTATATGGCACGGTTCTGGGGGGTTTGGGGGGGGTTGTTTGTTTGTTTGTTTTTTTGAAACTCAAGTTTTGCCCCTGGTTTGCCAAATAGTTTAAGAAAAGTCTAATCCCATGTGATCTGTCAGTCGTGGGAGACTGGTTTCTTCCATTCACATTTCTACCAGGGAGATCCTGAAGATGTCAGCTATCCAATTTTAATGTTCTGCCAGTAATTAACTTTGCAGTAGCAGTACTCGTGGGATATTTTAAACATCTCTATTTCTAACCTCTCTCTCTTCCTCTCTCTCGCTTTCTTTTTTTAATCTTCAGGATCTGTCCAACAACCATCTCACAGACATTCCAACAAGTTTTGCTTTGCTCATTAACTTAGTGCGACTCAATTTGGCTTGTAATCAACTCAAGAACCTGCCTGCAGATATCAGTGCAATGAAAAGTAAATTAGTTTCCTCAGATTATTAAATGCCGTACAGCCAGTTCTGTAGTTATGTTCAGAAATACAGTGCATGTTATTCAGGATTTTAAAAATATATTCTGAGTTAATGTATTCTCAAGAATATTAGTTCAGAGTTATTTTAAAAAATCAGCTACAACTACTGTATATCAAACTTGAGTCCTCTTATGGTTCGTATTTATTGATAAGTGGAACACAGAATGATCAGAAAAGTGTAAGGATTAATATTCTGCTTAGAAGTTGTTAGCCTTAAGACTGAAATAAACAATTTGACTTTTTTTTCTTTATTGCATATATTCTTTATTCCACTCCATTGGAGTAGAAAATAAAGCATAAATGAGAGAGAGTTGAAATTATGAGAGAGGAAGAAAGTGTAAATTAGTGATAAAGTTGACTTGTAATACATGAATGTTAACTAGCATGCTGGCTAGTGGTTGATATGAGACGCATATTTTAAGAGTTGTGGCAGACCTACAGGAATAGAGGGTGGACTGCCAGCTTTTAGAGATGCTGGAGAAATTACCTGCGGGTCTTTCAGAGATGGTCTACAACGTCAAACCCTGTCTGGTTCCCTCCAGTCCCAAACTCTAAACAAGAGCTAGGGTCTGGCAGTGTCATTGAAAGCATTCCAGAACGTTCTCTGAAGAATAAATGGAAAGCAGCTGCCTTGTTTCAGAAGTGTTGATGCTAACAGATGTAATTTCTTCCAAAATTCCGTTTGGCAAAATGTTGTTATGTTTATTTTTAAAAACCAGGATATTTATGCTTCTATAGAAAACAATTCTTATTTTCTCTTATTTTTCTGTTTGTTGCTTGCACACTTACTTCTACAGGCTTAAGACAACTGGATTGCACTAAAAACTACCTGGAAACTGTACCTTCCAAATTAGCGACTATGGCATCTTTGGAACAACTTTATCTGAGAAAAAATAAATTGCGTTCCTTACCGGATTTTCCCTCATGCAAATTACTGAAGGTAAGGTTCGAAATGGTTGGTATACTGTGTGTTTGCTGTAAACTTTTAAAATAATAGCTGTTACTTGAAACACAAGTTTTTGTGAAGTGCTGTGATCAAAAGTTGATAATTCTGTGTTTAGAACTGTGTTTAGAAATTTATTTATTAAATAAATACATCTCCATTTGCAATTACTGTCCATATTTGTCATCTTAAGGTCAATTGGAAGACAACTTTGCAGCAGTGCTCTTCAGATTTGGAAAATAAAATAAGTATTTAGAAGAGGAATGACTGAAAAACTAAATTTAGTATTGCCTGCAACAGTTATTTTTATCTCTGGGAACATTTTCTGGATAAATTTACTTCGTTCGTTATCATTTTTTCTTTGTAACTGCAGAGAAAGTATACTTTTTTTTTTCTTTTAACCCGTTCTTCCAAATATTTTGTAACCTTAATTCCATGTGTGTTTAAAATTGAAAATTGGCTGCCTCAGCACATTAATTTGTTACTCAGCTCACAGAAAAATGATTGGGCCAGTTCAATGCCAGTATCACGGTGGTGTTTCCAATGACCAAATTCATCAAAGAAGGCACATACCTTAGTTCTGCATAACTCTGAACTCAGCAGTTAAAATCCCAAGCTATTTCAGTGTTTTCTAACAGAATTCATGTTGATATGTGAAGTTCAGTGTCTTAGTGTGTCCAGCAGCATGCGTACACTCTTT